CACACTTAAAATCAAAGTGGGCTGTATGTGGCCCATAGTGTTAGATGAGTTTGACGTCGCTGCTCTAGACCTTGTTGGGAGATTAATTTGAATGACTGATATGTGAATTTCATGAGTCTGTCTTGCCCACCTTGGTGTGAGTGCGGTTGTTTTGGAGGCAGTCTTGCAGCACGCCCTCGTACTTCTTCAGCAGGTTATCCCAGCCTTGCTCCAAGGCAGGTGTAGCGCTCTCGTAGCCTGAGGTGACAGAGGAGGCAGAGGTACTGTCCGAGTCCAGGGAGAGCGAGGAGGTGGCCTCTATATCAATAGACTGGGCCTCACAGTCAGGCACGTGGGATCTTTCTACGTGGGTGGCAAACAGGCATTCTCGCCAAAACTTTCCTCCAGGTAGTGTTTGAGCAGGAGACGACTGCTTAGAGAAATTGTGCTCGACAGGTAAGGTTTCGGGTTTTGTTTGAGGCAGGTCAGATGCTTTTGTTGATGAACTTAGTTCTTGCTCTTGTGTGGGTGTGGTGGTTGTTTTCTGGCTGGAGGTAAGTGACTGTTGGATGAAACTGAAGCTGGAGTTAAAAGAGTCCTCTGGCTCTGAATGAGTGTCCAGGCTCGAACTTAACCTGAGTTCATTGTGGGGCAGTGAGGACTGGCCCAGATGGCTGGATGTACTCTTAGAATTGCAGTCCACAGGGGAAGGAGGGTGGGTAACAGAGCAGACAAAGCTCTGAGTCTTCCAGGAGCTACACGTGTGTTTATCAGGCTGTTGATGATTTATTAAAGACACACTGTCTGCAGGAGCTGGACTTGGCCTTTGAGCATTAGTTGCATCAGCTATGTCAGCGTCACGTCCTGATTTTCCATTGGAAATAAAAGTGGTTGTCCCGACGTCCTCCTCCTCTTCCTGAGTGGCGCTCTGCAGTCTGCACTGCTCTCCTCTCATGTACCCTGGTCTTCGGTGGAGCCTCTTACGGCTGGAGCTGCCAGCTGTCCCTGATGCTCTGCCACCTGTCGATGCAGAGATTAACCATTAAGCTTGACAACATGGCCATGAGGAAGATAACGCATGACCTCATAGAACTGGTAGGATTAACCATGGGCTAGAGCAGGAAGATGTAATGCTACGTGTACTAATTACACAAGTACCCGAAGCAGCTGTGATCCAGCAAAATGACCTTGTTTTTAAAGATAGTGCCTAATGGACTGAATTTTTTTTTCTTTTTAAAAACGTTGGGCAGATGTGTGACATTTCCCAGGGTTCTGCTCCAGCTGTTGGGAAATACCAAAGCTGCACAGTCATTTATAAGTTAAGACATGCCTCTCTGTGGGATACCAGATGCATGAACAATATATTCTGAGGTTAGATTTGCATTTGTTTATTTTTGCAAATAGCAAAATTCTTCAGAGGAAAGGTTCTCAAAACATAGCAGGGGGTTCACGCCTGGATCTGGAGCCTTAAATCGGTCTATTTCACTGAAATATAGGGCAAAGGGCACACAGGCAAGGTCTGATTCATGTTGGTCCACTAACAAACCGGCACTGATGACGCTATTGTTTTTATAACCACTCAGCTTCTCTCTTTTTCTTAAAGCAGTAAGGCCGATAAAGTTTACCTGAGATCTATTTCTGAGTGGGTGCTATAACCTGTCAGTCTTCCAGCCAAAGCAATAAACTGAAGGATTGTTTAGAACAATACTGATTACCCTCGCTTTATCAAACCCACTTGCACTGCACTCATAGCTTGTCTCAAAGCTTTTCAGTTATTACGAAAGCCATGTTTTTTGTAAAGGGGGCATAACCGAAATAGCTTGTGAAGCACAGACACTGCCAATCTTAGTAACAAGAAGTGATACAAACATGCATGCAAACAGCGTTTGGTCTGAAAGTGGAGCGTAATGATAAAGGCCAGATTGTGGCAGGAGTTAGACACCTGCTGCAGGGCCACGTGAGTAATACATATCATGTTTAGGATTCAGACGAGGAGGCGCGCTCAAACGCTGGGGATCAACAGCCCCTTTGTGTACAGCTGCGCTGCTCCTTCTTTCACTTCTGGCTCTCGCTTTCTCCTCCCACTCGCGAACACTGAAGTCACACAGAGGCACACTGACAGTGCTGAAAACACTGGGATCAGTTGTACTATTGTCAGTGTAAAAGCCTGTTAAACGCTTTAACTACGATAAAAACAAATCCAAAAGTAGAAAACGCAAACAAACACATAAAAACAACATCTTACGCAACTGTAAACCTCTACAAATAATGTGTTTTTTGCAGTGGGAGCACAATTATCAAGACAGGAATGCGGGGCATTGAAGAAAGCATGACCGATGAGCAAACCACAGCCCACTTCCCAACACCCAGTAACCTCCTACGATGCCACTCCTAAACTATCCCATGAGACTGTAAGAGACTCAAATAGACACCAGTGAGAGCAGTATTTCAAGTGAAAGTAACACACGGATGCTCCCATTGTAGCCACAGTGTTTTTGTGTGTGTGCAGTGTCACTTAGAGCTTGGGTTACACACAGGTCCATTAGAGGGTCCTTGCAGACGTGGCCACTGGTCTATAACTGATGTAAGAAACCCAACACCATCTGTAGGTTACAGCTACAACCGCACACTGTCTACCATCTGGTGTGGCTAGATGTTATACTAAGCCCTCTACAACAACTAAGAGTCGAAAGAAGAGGGACATGATGGTGTTACTGTATCCTCACCATACTTCGATTACACAAAGAGAGCTCTTCCTGGTTTAAGGGGAAGGAAATGCCTCAGTCAGGGCCCATTGTTTTGTGTCTGCTGGCTTGTGTGTATGTCAGAGGGGCATCTATTTTTTGGCTGAAGCCCCTCAGAGGTATTTTCTACTTCCTGTCAGGCTTTGGGCTAAAATAGTTCACCAGGAATTCAGGCAGAATATACAAACAAGCAAGCAGTGACGTTGAGTGGTTCAACACCAAAGATAAAACAGTCTCTCTGCAACAGCATTCTCACTGTAGCATGTTATCAGTGCTGAAGAAACTGTACAGAGAGCCTGAGAAAAAGAAGCATGTCAGCCAGAAGAGGCGAGATTATTTACCTTTGGAGATTAAAGAGGCCCTCCTCAGCACCCTTAGGTTAAACACTGCATCCAATTGGGCACTGAAAGTGCTTGAGCCAAAGACAGAGAGGAATGCAGGGGCTCTCATAAAAACACAAACATTTGAGGAACAAGCTCAGCACCCTCTGACACACACACAGACACACAACGCACACAAGCGGATCTGCATGTCAGCAACCTCCTGAGAAGCAGCACTGCTCGGCAGATGTGCAAAACCTCGCCACTTGTGACCAAAGAGAGCGTCACAAAAAGGGGAAGTGAAAGTTAGCAGTGATATCTATTCATCTTACTAAAGAAATGACTACATAAGTGGATGAAAACCCAACAATACAGTATGCTCCAATGCCAGTTCCTATCTTTGGTCCTAAATCTTGGTCCTTATCGCTCCATTTTGCACGGTAGGTTAAAGGATGGGGATATTCCAAGGATTGCGTCTCTGCTATGCTCTTGTCAGACTGTAATCACATGAGGATCAGTTGAGTCTGTGTTATAGAGATTCATTTACACACTGCACATACTCTTTAATAGGCATTTTGATATTTCTGGTAGATTAGATTCATTCAAAAATGTCACACAACAGAGACCAGGGAAAAATCTACTCACAGCAGAAGCTGTTTCGGAAGCACTTTGGGAAATAGATTTTTATCTAAGGTTTACCACATCTAGCAGCCTTTTAACTGCAGTAGTTACCCTGTTGCATGTGGCGAGATCATAACAGTCTGATAAATGGGTCTAATGGAGGTCTGATTACCGGCATCCTGCGTGAACAGACTTGGATCACATTTCTATTTATTAGTCAAGCTCATTTTATTTGTATAAAACATGTTAAAAGACCCAAATAGAGACAAAACGCAGGAAAATGCTTCTCTACTTTGTCTAAAGAGGTGGGGAACATATTATTTAAGTATTTAATCATTTCCAACTCATCATCACTCCTAGAGAATGACTGGTAGGGAGACTTTAAACCTTTATGATCCAGGGAACTGTGAACTTTCATACACATTCCAGGCAATGCATTATTAAACAGGCTATGAGTCTTCACTGCGGCTGCTCTGCTTTTGTTTAATCATCTGATGATTATCCCTCCCTAAAAACTGCCGGCTTAGTACATCCTAATACTACTATTTTATCCAATTTCGGTGTATTAAAGTTGTATGAAGTTCCTGGGGGTGTATACATATCCTGTAAAAGACCAGGGTCGGTGTGAGAACATCAGCGGATAGTTAAAAATCTTGTTTTACCTTGAATGGTTTCGCGGCGGTGAAGCAGAGAGTTGCCGTGGCATTCCAGTCCCATCAGTCCAGCGAACATTTTTCCATTAAAAAAGGCTGTTTGTGTTGAAAAGTCAAAGAAAGTCAGACCCCGGTGGCACAAGCCTGCATAGAGTTACATCGACCATGTTTTAGAAGAAGTGAAGCCAGGCAAAGGGACTGATCTCATTTCCGTTATGGAAAAGTGAACCCGGGCTGCTATATTTTCCCTGCACACAGTGAGTGACGGGTGAAAACTGCTTCCCAGCGCGCTGTTTTGTCCCTGATGAAAATCTCTTGACACAAACATTTATGGTACATCAGATTCTTACATTTCTCCCCCTGTTGGAAACAAGTGGGTCCCGCTGCGCCTGAACTGACGGTCTGGAGAAAGACTTCACGTCGTGCTGTTCCTTGTGGGGAAAGTATGGAAAACACATCCAGCGGTGGTGTGCAGTGGCAGAAGTACATAGCCCAGGAAAATCCGTCTGTTAGTCGACACATCGATCAGTTGATCAGTAATCCGTTAGTCGCTGCGCCCTTGCGTCATGCGTCGCGTTGGAGCTCCTACGTGTTCAGGAATTTGACTCCAGACTCCTTCAGACCGCCTCATATCCACAGTGGGCACACTGTGGAAGTAGCAGCGGACACGGAACCGGATTAAATAACGCAGTTGTTTATGTTTATATGTGCTGTATTTTAGTGTCACTGAAGCTTGTGGAGGAAATTTATGGAGAAAAATACCATCTCTCTACTATTAAGTCACAAATACCATGAAGTTCAAATGTATACACACAGGATGCGTGTGATTCAGTCATTTAAATCACAGTGTAGCAGGTCTGTACTCCCTTACACATCTTAATGTGTCTCTTTCTTTCGGCACTCAGGGAATCCGCGAGTAGCACCAAACCCTAGACCTCACATGGCGCAGAGTCTTTTCATCCACCCCTTCACACACCACTCATCCCAGTGCTCCTTTCATTCAGCTCGCCTGGCTCGTGAACAATACTCAGAGACAAAAAGCTCTGTTCAACAGACAGAATGCAGGACGTACTTACACATAGCTAGGGTAAGAGCAGGGATGAAACACGTTGCCTGGCACGCAGAGTGCCATCACCTGCTCTTTGTTAAAGATTAGAGGCGCATTGGAGATGCGTTTTTGACATCAGCGCACTGCCCCACAGGCCGGCTAGTTTCCAGGAGAAGCCCTTTGACTAACCCCTCAAGTTTTAGCTTAGTTGTCAAGTTTTAGTTTTTGGCTTACCTCTGTGCCATAAGTTTTAAGACATAAGAAACACCATTTTATGCGAAAAACCCAGAAAGAAGATGCTAAAATTACACACGGTGTCTATAAGGGAGCAGATGAAATGTATAAGAATGATGTAATCACATCTGTCTTATGTACTGATATATGAGGGCTTTTATGAAATAATTAAGCAATCAGGAAAAGAGTGACTGCAAGGATAAAAGATGACTTAATCAAAGGATAAACACGTAGCTGTTGACTAATAACACATTAGCTCCTGCTCTGTTAGGTTTAGCCTGCTCTTTCCCTTCATCAGCTATGCATTCAATGCATCCATCGCATGCATTTTTCACAGTGCTGTAGCTGTGTTGCTGACTTTGACCAGCAGATGTCAGACTTCACACAGATATATTAGTTTATCCGCTATAGAAAGTTAAGAAATAACTTTTTCTTTACATTTCCCAAAAGTATGTGTACACGTTTTCACTTTTATATCAAACCTTGAGAAATACACGTTTTCATCCAACTTTGATTTCATACATAACCACAACCATAGGCTGACTACGTGTTTCCTGATTTAGTCGTATTCACAAAATATTCATTTGATCCATCATATTTATGTCACTGTATACACAAATATATAGTATCACATTTAAATAGTCTGAATGTGGATTTAATAGCATTCTTTTCTCCTAATAAAAAAAGGTCCATGCCAGTTTTTTGACTTTCTCCTGTGTATGGAACCAGGAAGTTTTTAAGCATGGCCACGAGAGTCATTTCCAAGCCAAAGGTCTAAATCATTGTAAGTTTTACAGCTCTCACTGACAAAGATGTTAAGAGTGGTTTTGGTCTGCCATATTCCAGACAGTAGAGTTACAGCAAATCTCTGGATTAGGGTTGTTCCAGGATTTATTTATTCATTTATATAAATGGGGCGCTAAAGTAAATTAGCTAAAGTGCGTTACACTGATTATAATGTGCACAGGCCTCCTATGTAATAACTACACAGGAGATAACTACGTCTCCTGTTGCACAAATTAGGAGATGTAGTTACCCAGTAATAATATAATGGCTGCACTTAAGCACAAGATTTAATGGTTTGGTAATGGAACCACTGTGATATGGTATAGTTATAGTGCAGTTAGGAATAGTAAGTAGTGGACTGAGGTTCATGCAATATACCCATGCAGTCAAACAGTCACTGCATGTAATATTATTTATATTTAGATAGTTATATATTCACAGTGAAGCAGAGGAGGACGTTTATTTCTACAGGAAAATGGGGAGTTAGACCCCCTTATCATCTCCTGCTATAATTTCCAGTGCCACCCTTAACCCCCTCTTTAACCGCGGTTGGCTGATCATCTCCTTCGTAAACAAATTGCTTTTCTTTGGAGTGTAAAAGGAGGCCAAAACTTTATTTTTTCTGCACATGTATCTGTTTGTATACACCCAGCAGATGGCAGATCTAAATTATTTGGACTCTCTCTCTTACAGAGTCATAAAAAGGGACAAACTTATACAATATCAAAATGATCCAGTTCATATCAAAACAAAACAATTACTTAATTACAAATAGCCTACATTTTTGGTACAAAATTAGTCAATTTGTCATAGTCTTTTTTTTCCTAATGTATGTGTGATCAAAATGTGATATGTATACAGACCTAAAGGTGACTAATGTGAATCATAAAAGAACATTTTCTCTGAGGTGAAATCTGGCAATAAGATTGTTTTGGCCCTATCTTGAATAAAGGCATCTATTTTCAACAACAGACTATGCTATCATTATTTTCATTTGTCACCGTACAATAACAAACACCATGAGGTGAAGCATGATATCAGTTCTCTACCAGGAATATTCCTCCTCTCATTCCAAATCTCACTTTAAGTGTACGTCACTGCACTGGGACGGAGTGTTTAAAGAGGGTAGAAGAAGGAGACAAGGGGTTGTTTGTGAGTATGTGTGTGTGTGTGTGTGTGCTGGAGAATAGGGGTGTGCAATGTGCAAAGGTCACATGTTCCTCCTCCACACTGAATAAAGAGTGCAGACAGCCAGTGGGACTACCTTAGATTATCTGTGTGTGATAGAGAAAGGGAAGGGCAGCGAGAGAGAGAGAAAATAAAATGAACACATATTTTCAAAGCCGCTTAAAGTCTCAGGGAGTGTGGCATATTTGGCACAGAACCTTTATTCATGCAAAACAACTGAAGTCATCAGATCTTTATCGAACAAAAGAGAATCCATTGTCTATTGTAACACTGTTGTTATTGTAATAATAAAAAATGAACAAGCATGTCACAAAACACTAGAAACATCAGTGAAATCCCATTAAAAATGCACACAAACATCAAACGGAGCTAAACTAAACCAGACAATGAGACCACAGAGAAGAGCGTCGTTGAAGCAGTGCGGGATTAAACCACTCCTTCCTCGGGGTCGATGAGTGTGGTCCGACTGGAGAACACGTCTGCCAGCATGTGTTTGGGGATCTCCGAGCCACGGACGCGTAGGGTGTAGCACGCGTCTTCTACTTTGCCCAGGCTCTGCCGCAGCGTGTGCAGCTTCTTGGACACCTCGTACGGGCCCGTGTTCCCAATGTAGGAGAAACCATCGTGGATCTGCCGCAGGAACTGGCTTAGCTGGAAGGGTGTGTCAATGTCGCCATTGCCGACGCTGCTGATGCACATCCGCATCAGCTCCCCTGTTAGGTCGGCCACGCCCAGCAGGTAGTCGGACGACGTCACCTGAAAGGTCAAGACCTGAGCGTTCACCGGCATCGCTTCAGCTGAGCCCTGAATTGGAAAACAGGACAGGAAAGAATACATTCTAAAAAGTTGGGCCTTTATATAAAATGTCAACAAAAACAGAATGCAATGACCTGCAAATCTCTTAACCCCACATTACATTCATAGTAGAAGACAGAAAACTAAATGTTTAATCTGGGAAGCTCATTTTGAATTAGATGGCAGCAAAAATTTCAAAAAGTTGAGACAAGGAGGGAAAAAAGGATGAAAAAGTAAGTGTACTAAAAAGAAACATCTGGAGGAACACTATTATTTGAAATTCTTTTGGGAAATCAGAGCAGAGAGAAACTATTCAGCTTGTTATCAACGCTCAGTTTAAAAACCTGCATCTGTGATGGTACAGGGATGCATTGGGCACCCATCAATGTCTTTTTCAGGGAAGGCCGTGCATATTCCAGCAATACAATTACAGTTGTATTACAAGTACAACAGTGTGGCTTCAATAGACGGTTAGAAGAGCCTTGCTCCTGCAGTGATCTTCCTGAAGTTGGAATCTTTCACCAGCTGAAAACATCTGGAACATCATAAAATGAAAAATAACAGAGAAAAGACCCAGGACTATTGAGCAGATAGAACCCATATCAGACAAGAATGGGACACCATTCCTCTCCCAAAGGTTCAGCTGATCCCCTCAGTTCCCAGATGTTTATAAACAGCTGTTAAAAGAAACAGGGATGCTACACACTGGTAATTGTGACACTGAGACATGCTGCTGGCACCAATTTCAAAATTATCTTATTTATTTATGTGCATTTTCTGAATTTGAACATTTTATATGCAATGCCTTTAATGCAAATTAATGAGATTTAAGTCATATTGTGTGGATCAACAGACACCCTACAACTGAAAAAAATAAACTGTCACATCTTGCTTTAGAAAAGATAAAACAATCCAAAAATAAAACCATTAAAACATTAATGGTGAAGTTTCTATATTTGGAGTCTCAAATCGAACGGTGACTTTACAGTGGCTACATCTAAGTTTTATTTTTATATACACTCTCTGAGCCAAACAGAGTTTGATACCACGAAAGCGACAAAATCTATTTTCCAGAATGTCACATAGTTCTTTTAAGGACTTTTTGGGGCTTAAAAAAATACTTCATAAATTGTTAATGTTCAGTCAGTCCTCTGTGATTTTACCTTAGGATCTGCCTTCTCTGTGTTCATGAACACCAGCCTGGCGTTGATCTCTTCCAAGCTGATGAGGCAGCGATGGCGGATGTAGTGCAGGAAAGAGACGGCTTCCACATATTCCTGAATCCCTGATGAATTAAAGTACATTAAAATGGATCAGAGTAAAACAATGGCATATTCACTTGATCATTTCACTGTGCTTGCTAAAACTGAATGTGACAGTGGCTGGGGCATTTGTTTGCAATTCACTAAAATGACCATGTATCAAATGAGCGTAGCAAGCAGAGCGTGCAGCATCAACATGAAATCTGCACAGTACAGATCACAGATGGAGATAATGATTCAAATAAAACCTGTTTCCTGTCTCTATCTTTTGATAGAA